CGCGGGTCGATGGTCGAGATGCGGCAAAGGCGGTGATGATTGTAAACATGAACGAAAAGACGAGGTCGACGATCGTGCAGTCACGAAAGAATCGTAGATAAGATGGATTGTGCTGTTAATCCAGATGAGATTAGACGCCGCGCGCGCCATTGTGAACAAAGACCGGGTAAGCCGCGAAAAAAGAGCAGAGGGATTAGCAATCAGGCCGTGTCGGACGGTAGAAAAAGAGCATAAGGAACGTACTCTGAGAGCCCCTACGAGACCCACAAGGGCCGCACAACATGTCCAGACGAGGTAACCACAGACTAGGCCAACTGCAACGCGGACACCATTCATGCGCCATTCGTCCCACTCGGTCTCCGGCTCCCACTTGAGTGCGGTCCATAAGTAGGCGAGTTGGATGGCTTCCAAGAGGTTAACGACGACGACAATGACACAGACTGCGACGACGATGTGGGCTGATATCCTGGTGATGACAAGGGGGAGAGGCGGCGTCAGCGGACGTGAGCGACGTCGGCTCTTGACTCGAACCACTTGAAAACGCACCTTGGGGATAATGGAAGGCCTAGTTTGGACAACATGGTGAGGCTAGGTGACCTCGTATATTTTTTTTTGGATTGTTGGATGAGGTGGCCCGGTAGCACTGCGGTTGTGGTTGAGGAGAACGAGCGAGCGAGGTCAGACCACGGGACCGACTCAATCGTGGCGGGAGACAAGGGCGAAAACGAGGCAGCCCGCCACATTTGACCGTAAATGGAAGACTATGGGGAAATTGTGGTCATTTTTTATCTGGATGAGGAGTTGTTTGTGGTCTATAATTAGTGGGGTGGGCAATAGACTCGACGATCTCCAGCTATGGAAAGAGGAGGTAGGCTAGTAAGGGCTACATCTGATGGAGAACGAGTTCTGCGATGATAGTCCGAGGCAAAATTCGTGTGGCCATGGAGACTAATGCTTAATTCACCGAATACTGAAGATGATACGATCGCTTGCTGTCGATTTTTAGTGGGGAATTTTGACACGGGCTAGCGGGGGGCGACTAGTGTGCCTTGTACCTCACTCGGCGCAGGCGATAACCAGAACTGGATAGTTTCATTTGGGTTGTTATCTTGGGTCAAGTTGGGTGTATCAGCTGCTCGTCATCTGACGCATCGAGCAGTGCTCGTGTGCGCTGCGCCAGTTAAGGCTGCACACCATGTGCCGGAACTGAACACACCAGCTCTGTAGCACAAACCTGGAAAAGGCTATTTAAACACGGCAGGAGAGAGTAACGCCACAGATATAGTGGTGGTGGTCAGAGTGAGTGATATATAGATCTGCATCTGTATCCAGAACTGCCGTCTGCCTCCCCCGATGAATCAACTAAACCGTCGTTTGTGAGCCAGTTGTTATCCTTGGCCCCTGCGTTGACATAGTTCTCTCCCCTTTGACCCGTCAAAACGGGTCCTGGCCCGCATCACTTCTTGGACCTAACCCCCATCTCCCGCTCTCCCCGGCTTCTTTTCGCCAAAAAATATACACAATCCACATCCCGTCACTCCTAGTCTAATCTCCCCCTTATTCCCTATCCAACCTCGCCCCCCTCGCACAACCCGTCACCCAACTCGCACCACGCATCTCGCAACTAAAACTTTTTATTTCACCCCGTTGCACGCGAACAGAGACTGCTGAAAATCTCGTTTTTGCTCTCATCGAGTCGCGCTTCAATTGGGCCTGTCAATTCAAGCATCATCTCCCCTCCTCCTTCCTCCTCACGCAACCGCCCATCCTGTTAGGAGCCTCTAAAAAAAGTTTTGTGGGCACGTCATCTCTCTCGCTCCATGAGCGTTACGCGTTCGTCTACCTCTAGTGGTCCTGCCGGTAGGAACGACGCTGCTGGGCCGCAACCCACCAACTCCAACTCGAGCTCGGACGCGAGCGGCCACCCTACCAGCACCACCAGCAGTACCATTCCTACTCCAGACTCTCCCAACGGCTTGGAGCACGACAATTTCCCTCCAAACGGCTCGACGACCCCGCCCCGAGACGGTCAACATTCGCATACCTCTCCTTCGCAAACCGCGCACAGTACGACTCCTCTCTCGCCCAACGGCACAACCGACCCCTCGCTCGTCCATGATCCCCCGGGAACGAACGAGTCCTTCCCCTCGTCCATCGATGGCTCTCCTAATGGCTCGAATGCCAGCGCAGGCAGCAGCACGGCTGCTGTTGGTGGAGATGGTTCGTCGCCTATGGAATTAGTGGATGACGATATAGGGGGCGCACTCGATATCGAAACCGGTGATGAGTATTCGGGTGAAGATTACATGCAGGACTTGCGACGCGTCAAGGTAAGGCTCGTTTTTTTTTCTCTTTCCTTATGACAAAGGGCAAATCCAGAAGTGGCAAACGCTGACGATTCTTTCGCTTCCTCCTTTTACCGTGCTTCATTCTCGTTACTGTTCAATTCATCGAATCTTGGATGGTTGCTCTTCGGTTATGGACGATGAACTCGGTGGCGCATACCTCCCTCTTCCTTTCAACTATGGTGGCCTATTGCCTATCGCGTTCTATTCTCGGGAATGTAAATCTGGGGCAACACCCTATCTCCCCCCCTCCCTTTCGTCTGACAGGTCTATGAACTTGTCGAACAGCAATGGAAAGACCTCGGCACGGCATTTTGTTCCGGGGAATATGACGAGCAAGTCCGCGAAGCCCAGCTTATTGCCAAATCGGAGGAGACACAAGAAGTATTGCTCCAAATCACGGTCAGAGCAGACGATGTTTACCAACGACAAGCTGGTGCGCATATCTTCTTTCAACGCCTCCCCCTCTTTTATTTTTGTCATCGTCTCTTGCTGACCTGATTCCCCTCTCTTTCCTTGTCGAATTTCTGGTGATATTGGATGGACGATATAGATACCTTGATTGTTTGGACGGAACCGGATGGCAAGGACTATGCTCTCAGCTTCCAAGACGTAGAAGGATGCACCGAAGTCTGGGAGTTTATTACAGAGGTCCGAAGACACCTACGGACTGCAAATGGAAATGGTACGCATCCAGCTTTCATATCACCATTTCTTTTCCTTCA